GGGGGGGGGGGGGGTTAATTTGGAGCTCCAGGGCCCTCTTCAGCTCCCTTTCAAACCTCATGGAGCCTAATCATCGGGCCCTTTTTCCAGCATCAATACACATTCAGGCAAAATAACAGATGACCACTTTCAAAACTTCTACAGTTAAGTCATTGACCAAAAAAAACATGTGCCTGGTTATATAACTTCTACTGTAGTTTGTTTGTACCCGTCTATTCTTTTACAGCTGAGACTGGTCATCTAGAGAGGTATTGAGATACTATAAGCTTCTGAGGAAATACAGAAAAAACAAGCCCTTCAGTGCTTCCAAACATGCAGGAATGTTGTGACAGTTAACAGCTTCACTGTTATTTGATCAGAGACATCAGAAAATGGAAAGTTCATTCCATGCCAACCCAATTTAACAATATGTAGCTTAATATTTAAAAATAATAGGCCTCTGGATAATTTACTGATTATGCTTAATAACAACATAAATAAGACATAAATATTGCTGGCTCCAGGCCAGATTCATTAACTGGATTTACACAGTTTGAACATGAACACCTTTCTGTTTTCAAGGCCTCTTTTTGTTTTGTTTTGATCCCAATCTTGATAATGGTTGATTTACGTTCATAAAACTGTCCCTTAAATTTGAAGACTCTGGTCAAATTAACCACAATCACCTTTAAAAAGAATGTTTCAAAGTGCTCTTCTCCACTGCATAGTGTACTGTACAGTTTCCAGCCACGGGGTTTACTGTAACAAAACTCAGATGCCCCAAGAAGTTAAAGAAACTAAGTCTAGAGTATTTACAAGGCATTTAACACCTACAACTCTATGGAGTCTTACAACATATGCAACATATGTCCGAGAACTCTGCTCCGTCCCTGTTTGGAGTGCCAGATGGGAGACTTTTACCACAAGTGTCACAGGAAAGTATACAAAACTGACCTTGCTTTGATTTTGCACACCTCCGAGCACTTATTGTGTTGTCGTACACAGCAAACACGATTCTATGCAGGTTAAGACAAATGCTAGGAATAATTTGCGACTACTCTCTGACGCCACGTCTGGTCTGGAGTGTCAGTAGTAAGCAGCTAACATCTCTACGACAGACACACTGGAGGACTGCGTGCAGCAGTGTATGCTGGTGTGTCACATGGTGGGGGAGGGGAATGACCCCCCCGGTCTGGTCAGGAAGAGATGGTATGAAAGATGAAGACTTCCCTACATGTGTGCGTGAACGCTGTGTGTCAGATCTACACACATCTGAATGGCAGGAATAAAGGGAACTCAACCCAACCGCCTGCGTTTGGAATGACTAGAGGATGATATGTTAGGAAGCTTAGAGTGTCTGATCAAGTCTCTATATTGCTTTCTCCTCCGCTGCATGAACATGATCTATGTGAATGTTCTGGCTGCAAAGTGAATGATTTCAGCACAGTCCACTCTTTCAGGAGTCCTTTAGGTCTCTGGGTTGGGCGTGGCCAGCAGCGGCACATTGTCCCTCCTCCTCCTGCCCAGCGGGGGGCGTCTGTACTGCTCCCCGTCAGCCAGCGTCTGGGGCAGCGGCTTCCTCTTGCTCTCGGGCAGCAGCAGGATGGACAGCACGGCCAGCAGGGCCAGAGAGGAGTAGACCACGTGGTGCAGGAAGTAACCATAGTGGTTCCTCAAGTCCATGAGCGGGGAGCTGAGGCGGCCCACGCAGCCCAGGGCGAGCACTGCGCCCACACCACTGCCCCTGGAGATCAGGTGATTATACATTAATGAAAACATACCTATGAATATTATCTTTTCTCATTAAATTCTCGACAGGAAAGCACATACACATATTTCAAACTATTCCTTTCAGTATAAAAACATTTATGAGCTCATACACAGCACTATAAATGACCTGAACTTCCCTCATCTTAAAGCACTTTATTCCTTAATTTCCAAAAGAAGATAAGCTAAGCTGTCATTTTATTTTAAGAGTGATCCCAGTTAATGAGGATTTTTTTAGATGTCAGAAAATGTCTCTTCATTACTTATAGATATCGATGGAAATGTCCTATCTCCTCCCTCACGATTTACTGCATTTTTCACATCCCAGTTCCTTTTGGCAGCACTTATGGGCTGAGCCGGCTCTTTTTGACAGAAGCAATTATTAACATATTCTAATCTTAGTATATTTTCACTAAAGTAGATGGGAGAGAGACTGCTTTCAGCTTTTTAATCCCTTTTTCGACTGCAGAGCTGTTGTGTGTATGTGTTACCTGATGATGGTGGGCATGATCTCTGCAGTGAAGAGGATGCAGAGGGAGGCGGTGGCCTGGGATGAGAAGAGACCCAGCACTGAAAAAATTGTGATGGCCGTCTCACTGAGATCTAAGGTGGAGACGGAGGACAAAACTCAGTTATTATGGATTACCTTGATGAGGTGCAGCATTTCTGATGGTATATTATGATTTCCTATTGATTAGAACTATTTCCAATTCAGAACACTGAGTCAACCCACCTAATCTTTTCCCTAAAACTTTACCAGACTTCTTTCATGAACAGTAGACACAGACAGCGGTGAGTAGCCTCTCAGAGGTCAGTGCTACTGCCCCCTCAGCCTTTGATGCATGATTAAAGCACAGCACCTGACACAGCTTTGACTTTGTTGCCACTGCAGTGTCCTACATAAACTGAGTGTCATACTCATTTTCAGGCACAAGGGGGAGACCGAGACTGAGGCAACAGTGAGTGTGTTTCCACACCACGCTGTGGAATGACAAAGGCACAGAGGACGTATTTTTCCATGCACAAAGCTTGCAGGTTTGCTTTTCATAATGCATGAAGCACAACATGAAGTCAGTGGTGTGTAGATAATCTGACCACAAATCTGAGCTTAAAATCAAATAAACTAACTTTTACCTTCATTCCAGTTAGGATTTGAGAAGGCAAGGCCTTTAATCCTAATACAAGCCTCACATAATGGTTTTACAACAACAGGGGGTGACTTACGGGGAGGTGAAGGGGGACTGTGCGCACCTTGTTGGCAAAGTCTATTAATAGCTTTCTTTATCTGACTCTAGATTTACTTGAGAACACAAATATCCTACTCCTAAAGCCCACTTACACTCCATGAGTCCCAGGAGGATCAAAGAGGCCAGCCCCGTCATCGTCATGGCGAGGAGCAGGATGCCACGGCGACCGCACCTGTCTACGGTCGCCCAGAGCAACAGCCAGGCACCGCCCCCTGCACACACAGACAGCAGGTACGTCCAATAGAAGCTGGGGGCCGTGCCTCTGACGTCACCTCGGAAAGAGCTGTAACAGTGACTAATGCCGTGAGAGATGAATCTGAGAGAGGAAGGACAGAGAAAACAGAGAGTAAGCAGTCGTTTTAAATAGAAAAGTGGTTCAGAGTGGAAGAGTCATGACGAAATATGAGACCACAGCAGCAACCAGGTCTGTAAATAAAGTCCCAGGCACTCAAAGTTGCTGCGTTGTTAAATTAATGTCAAGAGTGTGGGATGACTTACGAGGTGAAGCCGAGAACACACATGTTCTTCCAGATGTTCCTGCTGTGGAAGAGCTCAGGGAAGGACAGGTGGGGGCGTGAGGAGGGGGACGGCTCTGAATCCAGCTCTGCAGCAAGCAAACAAGGACAAAACAGGCTCTCTTTTTAATTCACAGCTCAACAACACATGACCTGACCTGGTTTCTCTTCTAATCAATAGCTCACTGTCATTTGTTTTATCTAAAAAGAGACGGGACGTTAAATCAATGTTGTTACAATTCCTATTGGGCAAATAGAGGTTGTTTATTAACCACTTAGAATACTGTAGCTGTAACAGGCCTAATACAAATAGATTCTACTGTAACACTTAATGTTAACCTCTCAATGTAGCAGATGTTGTTGTTTATTTATCTATTTGTTAATGTTCCTCCTCCTGTGAAGTATTACTAACAGTAAATAAGATATTGACAATATAATGTAATCAGAAATGTGAATGATTTTATATAATATCTATCAATTATATTTGTATACAGTAATACATACACAATACAAATTCATCCTCTGATGAAGGCAATGAGATGCTGCTGAAATCCATGTGAGAAATGTAGTAAGTGGACAGTGGAGTTAAATCACATTTTCTTTGTAAATCTAATATTTCAAGGTCAAGAACGGACCTTCAAGCTGTATGTCTGCATGAGTTTTAAACCCCCCTGTGAATGACATGTTCATGTGTATAAAGAGTTAATAAATATTTCATAACAAACTGCAAGGATCTGTTTGTGTGTAAAGTGACAGTCTTCTTGACTTCCTGTTTGGGCTTGGTCTTTCCCTTTTAGGAGAGACGCAGGAAGTGCATCACCAATTAGCACCTGCTGCTCCTCAGCTATATAGGCTGGAGGAGTCGGTCAGTTTCTCTTCCCTGAGCATATGGTTTGTTGTTTGGGTTAGAATTTTCTTGTGTCCACTCACAAACACGCCAGACACTAGTGATGTACTGATTGACATACTTCATATTATCATTGTTTAACTTGTGTTTTGTTAATTAAATATTTAGTTTAACTCATGTGTTGTCTTCTACTCTTTGTCCTACCCTCAAGCCGGGCTGCGACAAAGTGGGGGCTCGTCCGGGATTGTTTAACTTCTGTTTTGTTAAATAAATATTTAGTTTTGTCACAGCCCAGCCCGAGGGTAGGGCAAAGTGAAGAGGACAACACATAACTGTTGACATTGATAAACACACCATAAAAAAAGTGTTTATATATGAATTGCTTACTGCAACATGAACACTCAACATTGAATGTCAGTCAAAACGTAGAAGCAAAGGTGTAGAGTCGACATTTGTGAAGATCACTTTTAATTTTAAGTCATCCGAATCCAACTTTAGTAAATAATGGCTCGGATTAAACTTTTCTTAACCCTACTGTTCTGGCCCCCCTTTAACAGCTCAAAAAGCACACTTATCACATAACCCAATTTCATGAGAATTTTCTTATAAACATGATTTTCCCTAACCCAGTCCACAACAGAAAATGCCACATTAGTCGTGTTTGGAGGGCCGCAGCTGTAAAACATGACTAAATACAATGACTGTTAATATTTTCTGTTTCTATGATTGAATTCCAAAATAAGTCTTGATTTTCTCTTGTTGGAATCACTATGTAGGATAAGGTCATGTTGATTCCTTTCGTCTGTGAATGATATTTTGGCAAACAACATACATAGCATCTATGTGTATCATAGCCATATAGCTTATAAAACATCAAATATTTTTACTTATTTGGTGTAAGAACAATGTTTTTTGGTCCTGTCTGTATTTTATTAACTTGTGTGCAAGTACACTTTGTGGTAAAGGGAAAGGTTTCCAAACCGATTACTATTACATGTTGGGTTTCAATAATGTCAGAAGAAAAGGAAAAAAATGGTGGATTTTGCAATTATTATCATTATTTTTTACACATACAGTAGTGAGATCTATGGCCAGGAAGTAAAGCATATGAACATACATAGAAAACAACATATGAACTGCTGCAAGGCCCAGTAAATATCCAGCTCTGATTTTGTAGCTGCAGTTCATTATACTCTATTATAAATAATTTTTTATGCAGGAACCATGTGTTTTCAATAAATCATAATTTATAATTGAGCACCATTACCTGCTCTCAGTAGTGGTGTGCGATAGCTACCCTTAATTTGAAATGCACTGTTATAAATAACCCATAAATAATGCAGCCTTCATAAACTTAATGCCCATTCAGAGGGAGATAATAGGAATCGAAACCCATCTCTGCAAACACACCTGTGAAGCTCTCGTCGTCCCTCACATCTCTGTTGGAGTTTCTTCTCTCACTGAAGGAGTTCATATCTGCAGATCTCTCTGACAGAAGGAGCCAGCGAGGAGACTCTGGAAATACCCCAGGAATGCTGCAGGAGAGCAAAGACAGAACCGTTTGGCTTAATCTTTGATCTTTGCAGATCTTTATCCATCGATTCTATTGCTGTAACCCAGATTTTGCTCCTTCAGCATGGAAAATAACCAATGTGGATTGCAAAGTGGCAGAATTCTTTATTTCTTAATCCAGCTTTTCTTCCATTCTTATTAAAACCTGCAAATCATTGCCAGTAATCATCTGTTAATCTCTGTTAATTTGGTTTTGAAACTGCAATGAAGGCTTATCTTGTAACAGAGGTCGTAGAGAGACCGGGGACCTTAAACAAAGTACCCCTAATGCATTCTGACATGAGCTAAAAGGCTCAGTGTGACAAGGGGATTGAGATCAATACGATCCAACAAAGCTTTCAGAAAGTCAGTTGGCATCAAGACACTTTATCAAAAGACTGTCAGGTTCCTTTATTCTCTTGTGCCTGAAGTTTCCCATAAAAATAAACACATGTGCACACTTGTGCCTGTACACATAAAACCAATCTAAGTCCTAAAAATGTGAATAAAAATACAAAAACTGAAAATTAAACTAAAAGCGAACTAACAAATACACACACATACCCGTAACTGAGGAAGAGCGTTAGCGGGGCGGCACCGGCTCCCAGCAGGCCCCTCCAGGACTGGCAGCCCAGGGCGACGGCCAGCAACAGCAGCTCGCCAGCAACAGTCATCAGCCCGGCCAGCATGGTCCCCACCAGCCTCAGAGATGGTTCACACAGCTCCAGACCTGACAGACAATCACAGCATCAGCAGGTCCATTGTAATGGATCCATAAAGAAGCAGAAAGAGAGAAAATTTGATTCATTTTATGCTTCTTTAAAAGGAAAATATCAGTCATCAACTATGAAATTCATTTCTGGTATTATTCATGGAGTATGTCTGTTTGATGTAGCAGGCAGTATTTTTAGCCGAGCTAGCAGCACAGCTCTATATATGGTCGGTCTTTCAGTCAACCACTCTGGTCCAGACTGAAATAACTATGAGTATTAGACAGAGATTGCCGGGCCATTTTGTACAGACATTCAAGGGCTGACTTTGGTGGTCTCCTGACTTTTCCTGTAGCTCCAACTCTTTTTTATCCAGCACCATCATCAAATCAAAATTTAAATGTTTCCAGTTATATGGTTTATGACTAAATAACTGCTAAACTAATGACATTCCCATCAGCCTCTGTACATTGTGTTTTGTGCCAATTAATTAATGTTGTTACACTAAGATGGTGAACATGTTACACCTGCTAAACACCATCATGTCAGCATCACTCTGAGTATGTTAGCATGCTGACATTAGCATTTAGCTCAAATCAATGCTGTGCATAGGTACAGAGGTGCTAACATGACTGAAGACTCTTAGCCTTGGTTGATGTTGAAACACTCACGAGTGATGTACAGAGTGAGGTAGACTCCTGCACTAGCTGCCGCCAAACAGAAACGCATGACGATGAAGATGGAGGGGTACGGGGAGACGCACACCAGCACCCCAAACACCACCGACAGGGTCAGAGAGGTCAGCAGAGTCTTGGACCTGCCCAGCCTGCAGGGAAACAGAGATATGTGCTGAAAACAACCCGACCAATAGATCAGTACACCTGTATTATTATCATCACACAAGAGTTTTTAGAAGAACCACTATAACTTATTGATAGTTCCAGCTAGATTCATTTTTATCATTTAAAAAAAGAAATTAAGATTATTTATTATTTATTTATCAAGATATGAGCAAAAAAACATGAACATGTACACCAGGAACCATATACAATGGAAGTGCTTATCATGCCAGAGCAAGAACACTTCACATGCTTAAATATTAACAGCAAGCGGTTGAGAACAGAAAATAGGACACTGGTCTACTGTGAATATAAGTGTTAGAGTTACAATGGAAAACAACAGTGTGAACACTGCACTTTTACACTATTATGGACCATTAATGTTGCTATCAGTCCTAATTTTGTGTAATTATATAATTCAGATAAAATGACAAATGAAAAATATAAACTGTTCATTTTAAGATGAATTCCAGAGACAGCCTATTTAAATATAATACTACCTTAATGTATTATCAATATCTTCCTTTAATGCAGCTCAAGTCCGAGGCTCAAATTGATCACTAAATGTGATAGTTTTGAGTTTTTCAGCTGCATGCGTGTGCAGCAGCTTTGTTTCCAACCTGCAGATTAGTGCTGTTCACGTTCCCAGGAGCCAACATTAATTCACTAGTCTTTACAAACAGATGCTATGCTCAATTGGTCAGCAAATGAATGGAGGCTGTTAGCTGATTAAATTTGCATCATCTCCCTCACGATTCCTCCAAAACTGCAGGCTCCCCTGTGTGATTTTCAATGCGATAACACAGCAGACACAGGCTGGATCCATTACGTCAGTTATCTGAGGAGCTCGGGGTGTGCCTAATGCAGACTGCGTGAGGTTCTAAGATCTAGCTAAATAACGCTCGCAAATGTAACTTTTATGCCATGCACTGCTTATGTGTAGCACTTAGTTTATCTGCAGCAAACAACAGCTTTTTTTGCTCTAAATTATTTCTGACTGTGATACTATGAAAATGCAATTGGGCCGCTTGACACTACATCTCCCCTCCCTTCGACTGAAGGCCACCATCTACTGACTGATAGAGGAACCACCGGCAGGCATAGTAAATCTATAGCTAATTTTATCTGAACATTAACATCTGGCCTACTTTGTGTGTGTGTGTGTGTGTGTTGTATGTGAGCTTGTCGGGTAGTGAAACTGCAAAGTCAGCAGACACAAGAGACAGACTGAAGAATGAGGAACAAAGTGATTTAACAGCACAGACGTCTGCAGACAGATGGACTGAGTTGTATTGGAACATGTAAACTTGTGTGTGTGTGTGTGTGTGTTGTGTGTGCGTTTGTAGTGCGTAGTGCATGCATTGTGTCTGTGTGTGTGCGCATGTGGCGTTGTTAACACATACTTGCCATGACAACAAAACACAGTTTTGACACAGTAACCTATTAGCTTCTTTTCTGCAGGCAACTGTCTTAACCACTGCCAGTACACACAGGAGTGTGTGTGTTTGTCGGTTTGTGGCTTTGTCGCCCGAGTGCCGCTGGTGGTTGCTGGTGTGGGTGTGTGTGTGTGTGTGTGTATTACCTGTCAGCGGCATAGCCCAGGCCAAGACACCCAGTCAGGACGCCCAGGATGAAACACACCTCCTCCACTGGGACCAGCCAGTACTGACCACACACCAGATCCCACTAAACAGCAGAGACACAAGGAGGGGGGGGTCTGTCAGTTTTGGTCTGTTCAGGTCAGTACAGCAACACACATGTCAGGCAGTCATCAAGTAGACATCAATGCACTGCAAGAGTTGTTTGGAATGTTTCATTAATATACTAACCAACCATAACGTATAAAGTAAGTTCTCCACCCCGAGTGCCTACACAAATGACCTGTTAGGACTCAGATTATTTCTTGTGCCAATTATTCATCCTTTCTTATTTTATCAATATGTGAGAAAAGAAACGACTACAAGGTGAGGTCCAAAACCCGAAAATGTAAAAAAAAAATATAAAGAATTGTCAATTACAACTATAGAAAACACAGAAAAACAGCAAATCATAATGTTTGAGAAAGTGTAACCCGGTAGCTGTTTGACTTTTTTTCTCAATAAATGACATAAACAAACATTCTGTGATTCATTTTTAGTCAAAATAGAGATCAACACAGTACAATTCAATTACAATTCCAAAGGCGTTGGGACAAGTTATCCAGAATCAGTATCACAGTTTACATCACTAGCAACAAGTTTCACATACTTTACTAAAGATGCTTTTATGTAATGTCTAGACTTTTCCTTTATACCCTTGTTTTGTAGCTCAGTTTGATATTGGCCAAAAAGATGACTGACTAGCTAACTAACTCTATGTAAACTGGTTAATTGTCAGTAAACTCAGTCAGTAAACAAACAGAGATGAAAGTGGAAAGCAGACACCCAACTTACTTCAGGTGTGTCTCGTTTTGAGGACAACAAACAGACAAGTGGAAGCTCTCTGCTGACAAAAGAGAGCTTTGCACTGAGTTTGCAATAGGTTTCCTTCCTATCTGCATGTTTTAAAGCCCTGAGCCAAACTGTATAAATCAGCTCACTGAGCATTCACACTGACTGTTGAGTTAGTCATGGAGAAATATGCTTTTGGCAAATTAAATTACTTGATGAATTAATTACTTTGATTCAAAAGGCAGCCCATAATTGTGTGATGACTGTTGACTGTGGGTACAAACTATAATAGAAAATAAAATGTACAGAAGTAGCACTGAAATTTGATTTATACTACACTTCTCAGGAATAGTTCAAGAAAATCCGTGTCTGGTCCTTCTTGGATGTTTAACACTGCTTTCACTGTTTGGTGTCATTCCCATGTGAATGATTTCTGCTCATTGATAAATAATTGTGTCCCGGGTGTAACCGGACCCCGATTATAAAGGAGATCACAGGAGAGAATGACGCGCTTTCCATTAGACTCATAATACAAACACAGGAAGATGCAGCCTCATAATATTACTGTGTATGCGGTCATGACACTCAGGAGAAAGTGGGTGTATTACTGTTTTTATTAATAGTACTAGCAGCAGTAGCAGTAATAGTAGTTTTACACCAAATGCATTTTCTAAACAAACGGCCGTGTGGCTGTACATTATAGTGCATCCACATAGAAAGTCAGCACAACTGTTAGAAAAACAAAACACATATCTACTCTCAGATCTGAGTTTTAATCACATTAAGCCGACCCACTGATTTGCATTAACAGCTGAGCTCGGCTAATGTCTGCCGGCCCGCTGAAAGCAAAATGATTTTAATGATCTAGAGAGGGAGAGCGAGAGCAGAGGGCCGGTGATAAAAAAGGCCTTGCATAATTGGAGCCCGTGCACAGAAACATAAAAGCCTGTCACATAATATCAGCTGTCCTGTTGCTGAGGCATAGAGTCATAACAGTGTACGCTAGTCGGGTAAAGGGCAGCATAGCAACCCATAGTGCTCATACGGGTGGAATGCTTTGGACAACGGGAGGAGGGAGAATGCACACAAACCAGTCTGTAGACTCCCCAGACTGGTTTAGAGAAAGCAGCTCAGGCACCAATCAGGTATGTGTCTTTGGAAAGGACTGAAACCTAAACCCATTTCCCCTTTTCACCTTTCTGACTCCAAATAATTTGATTATGACATGAATATATATATATATATACATTTTACATAGCAGCGTCAATAGATATGGTACTATTATATTTATTGAAACATACAGTTCCTAGAATTCAGTTCAAGCTACTTTATTATATTCATACAAAAATCATTTAAGATAATGGACATTTTTGTGCTGATGGCAGGAAGAAAAAGTAACAAGCCAGTTATTGTCTGAGCATCAGCCCATAGATCCACAGCACAGAGATGTTAAATGGAGTTTGCCTCTAATGAAGTGACAGTATTTATTGATCAGTGCGAGGAGGCGTAGCTGATCAGTGGTCTTCCTGCTTCCTGTTCACCAGACTGCCAGCTCAGCAAATCAAAGCAGCACTGGAGGAACAGATCATCATGACAGCTAAAAAAATACTTTTCTGCTCTAACTCTGACTTAAGAGCTCAAATATGTCTCCCCGTCTGTCCGTGTCACTGTCAGTATGTAAGGCGAGGGGTGGAGGAGACTGGAAGCATGCTACTCTTCTATGTCTAGAAGAACAAGCATGCTTTTGCTAAATGCTTCCCCTGGCAGCGTTTATGTCTCCTCAGCTCGCTGCAGTGGCGTGGGTGGATTACCGGCGAACTGCCCTAATACCACGGACTTGAGGGCTGGGTGTGGTTCCCACATCAGAGGGCAAAGACATGAAAGCAGACACACGGGCCACAGAGCCACCAGCCTGAGTGGAGAACTGAGCAGCTGTCTAGGCTCTGTTAAAGACACTACCAAGAGCCATTCAGTGCTTTTACTATGAAATCCAGCTCTCAAAAAGGAAACGCATGTCTTTTTATTACATGCACTGATAATGCAAGTCCAAATGTCAAACCCACCACAAGCAGTGTACAAATTAACAGACACACTAAAGTGCCAACACAGCATTTACCTTCTGCATTTATCACGTTGGCTGTTTGTTATCACAATTCAAACACATGTAGGAAACACCGCTGCTGGTTGCTTTCATTGATAGGAGCCTGAAGTAGCTCTTTCCTGCAGCTAGAAATGTGAGAATCAGACTTAAATCTTAAATATCACTGAGAAAAATAAGCACTGCTGGCAACCTGAGTAAATGATCTCATTTGGGTGTGATCCTCTAAGAGCATTGATTGTGTAGTTATGAGCATTAGAGGAAAACCTAAAATTGTTTTTTCAAACCTGCTGCTATTCCTGCTGTGTTTTATGGGACGGACACAGTGCCTTTTAAAAAGGCAAGGTAACAGTCACAGCGACAAAATATTCCCTCTTCCACTGTAGCTGATCTTTAACCTGCCTGTGTACTGCTCAAATACAATGATCAAGGGAAAACATATGTTACCGTTAAAAGGTTAGAGATGCAAAGTTGTGGCCAGGAGGTACAAATCCTCAGAGCAGGGAAGCAAATGAATTCCCACTCCCTGCTTTGTTACAGTTACTGAGGAACCCATAGGTATAATGCTTGCTGCCAATCATATTCCAAAGCATAATTATTGATTATAATATTTTGTTGTATCTTGTATCCATTCGTGTATCAGTGGTAACCTGATTGTGAGCAGGGATTGTTTTTTCCAGAGTGACATATTTAAAGAAACTCTGACATTTCAGACATGCCTCACCTTTGAAATCTTTCTTTCTCGGCCCTTCCAGTGACGTAGGTAAAACACACATTTCTGAATGAGTCACCGAGCCTCATCCAACCTGGCACAGGTCACAACCCTCTTCTCACGGTTGAATGGAAGTCTAATAAGCACCTTTCAAGAGTACAGCGTTTTACAAGTTTAAAAAAAAAACGTAAGATCGATGCCACCAGCCCAGAGATATCGTCCTTGTCAAAACCCTGAGTCTACATTACCCACCATGCAACTCGACTGCAGGTCGGTTGGAGATTCAGCAGTTCTATCTTTATAACAGACAGATATTTTTCATGTTCACATTTGTAGTTTTCTTGAGGAAATTGGAGCCACAACCGTTTCCCCATGTGTAGCAGTAATCCCTAAGACCTATAAACAGACACTGCTGTGGAAAAAGCTTTAAATGTGCAGTTCCACTTCAGAATGGGTTCATGTGCGTCACGCTGTCTGCCGTCACCACCCTCCTCCCGACCATGGTGGAGTTAAGGTCTAACAATGCTTGAACATCTTGACAAAAGTTTAACAAAATAATGCTGATGTTCCAACGCCAAACAACTACCTTACCAGTGAAACAAAAAGAGGAAAAGGAAAGCAGAGAAAATGAGTGGGTGAGTGTAGGAGCACTGTACCAAAACTAAACAGAACTTTGTTTGTTTAATTCATATAATCATGTGTAATTCTAAGTAGTTATGTGGTTTAGCAGTGGTGTGTATGGAACAACAGCATCAGCCTGTAATGGGATTAACCTCAGTCAGTCTCATATGAATACCTCCAACGTAGGTACGACGCAGACTCATTATCTACATCAAACAGGAGGTCTGTATTGGAAAATGAAATCAGGGATCTCCAAAACCTCTGACGTTGGAGATTTTCCTGAATGCACCAACAAGAAAGAGTTTTCACAACAACTCCTGGCCCCACACAACCATAACAAAACTTCAAAATAAAGTCCATGATGCAACATCCAAGGCCCTACAAGCTGAATAACAGAAACCAGGGGCTGCCTGGGTCATTGTATCCTTTGGGAACTGGTCAACAGTAACCTAACATAAAAGGTCTTTTAAAGTTAAAAATGGGACGAGACATTAAAAAAAACACTGTATGAGCTGACTTTTTGTCCAACTCATAGGTATAAATATGTGCAGGCTGTATTTAAATTTAGCATGGCATTGCAAAAAAGAAGTCTCTGGACTCAGCAGCAACATCCTGGGGATAAAAAAACAAGCTTTCAGCATATTAAGACTCTAAATGCAAACAGAAAAACAAAGAAGGCAGCCCTCCCACAGAGAGCCAAAACAATGTCAGGACCATAATTAGAGAGCTCAGGAGGATCCCAGGCCGGAGCGTTACCTCGGTAACAATGTTGTTCCTCAGCCCCTCCGTGACGTTGTAGTCCCAGCCGCTGTCGCAGTCCGCCACAGCCGACTGGCTGCCGTTGACGTACTGCTTACACTGGGACAGGCCCCCGCTGTCCCCGGGCCGCTGCCCCTTCTCCCAGGGAAGGGAGGCGTTCAGCACCTCAGGCGATGGCAAGGGCCCCGGCAGGTGGCAGTGGTGGGGCGGGGAGAGGGTGATTAGGGGGTCGGAAGAAAGCAGGAAGGCCAGGAAGAGGTTGGGCAGGATGGAGAGGGCGATCAGCACCCTCTGCTTCTTCCTGCCCAGAGCCAGAACCATAACCTCCCCCGTGGGAGGCAGCGAGGGTGGCGGGGAGGAGGGAGAGGACGGGGCCGGGGAGGAAGGCACGGGGGAGGAGGGGAGGGACGGAGGGGGAGCAGGGCATGGGGAAGGGGAGACCAGCGGGGGAGAGTCTGGAGATGTCATCATTGGGTGGTGGGGGGGTTAAAGATGGAGGTGGGGGGGAGGTTGTTGGGATCGTTGGTCCCCAGGGAGAGACGTGGGAGAGCTCTGTGAATGACAAGAACCCCACAGTGTTATCATACAGTTTAAACTCCTGACAGGCTGATGGAACAGGCTCATCAACAAACATTCACTGAAGACATTTTCACTTGTCACAGCAGGAAAACATGTGTGTGAATAATTCATCAGGCCACATTCCTGGTACTGTGCCTTCTGGGACTCACTGGGTCACTTGCATAGAACAGGGCCATCAATAATGTATATATGGAACAGCTGTTTCCTACTATGACAAGTCAAAATGTCTGCTGTGAGAAAGGCCTGCAGATTGTACTGATGACACTTTTCTCTTTGACTGTGTTTCAAATGTATTTCAATAGCATGACTTTCCATTGTCAAGAGTGTACACGATCAACTAAAGCAGGTGTTTTAAATAGAATATAAAATATAGTGAAAGCCTAAATGCTTAAACAAATGTAATAACACTTATTCTAAGCCTGACTCCACTGAACAGCTGTGACATCTGAATAGAGTTTCTCATTACATTATGGCTTGGGATGGGAATCCAGAACCAGTTCCAGTTGAGAACCGGTTCCAAACCGAACCGATGGAGCTCATCAATTCCTTGTCTGGATGTCAATATTTTTCTGACATCAGGTTCATGCCTCTGCGCTGCTGCAAACTTGCAAGAAGAAGAAGGCGGAAAGGAAGAAGCGGTCCAGAGCGTGGCTTCATTTCGCAAAGAGAGAGGACAACAATGCTAGTGGTAGTGTCTGTAAAATGATCATTTCAGGTAAGGGTGGAAACATCTTTCTACACAACAGCGGCTTGAATTCCAGGAATTAGGGATGGGAGTGGGGAACCGGTTTAAACTGGTTTCAAATTAAACACCTGAGTCACAATCATGCGTTTTTTCATAACAAAATCGAACAATAAAACATTGATGCATTGATGCTGATAACTTGTGTATGCATACTTTTTTCCAAACTTCACCAGGAATCAATGAAGAATCTGACCGTTAAGCAAAATCAATAGTGGCATTGGTATCAGTAAAGTCTTGTCATTATGGCATTACAGTATATATATATATATATGCTCATGTGTGTTCAGCACATGTACTATCCGTTAGGTTATTGTCTGCTGGACCACATGTTGCAAATATTTTAAGGAGACAGTTCCAGAGCAAGAGGTCTCATCTTAAACTCACAATGGCTCCTTTCACAGCACAAACTGAGCAGAGATTCCTGCTGAACTAAAGAGTAATGTACCACACAAGAGCAGATTATTTAGATCATCTAATTCTGTCCGTCCACACCGAACTGACACAGAAGAGTTCTGTTGAAGTACGGCAACTGTGAGAATACATTTAGTACAAGGTTTATGAAACCATACGAGCACACTTCAGTTGGTAGAAAATGAGACCCAGTTCAGACTAGATGAAAGAGAGCTGAAGTGATCGGCCAATTAATAGTCGATCAACTGAACAATAAGCAACTATTAAGATCTCTTTTCAAGCAAAAGTCACAAACATTCCCTTGTTTCAGCTTCTCAGATGGGAGGATGTTCTGCTTTTCTTTGCTTTACGTGACAGTGAACCGAACACCTTCCAGTTTCGGACTGTTGTTTGGACAACAGAATGACATCACCTTGGGCATTTGTCACTACTTTCTGACATTTATACACCGAACGCAAACTACCAATCGATGAAGAAAATGCTTGGTAGCTGTAGCCCTAATTCAGACCAACTGATTCCTTTTTTTTTTTAAATACTGCTATTAGCGGTACACTACCAAAGCTTTATGGTCATATCAAACCACCAAGTTGTTACACAACGAGAGTACAGCAGCCAGCAGCCTGTGGGCACATGGGGAGACAGCACAATGATATAAATAACTGTAAAAGTCAAACAAAAAGGCTATGCATGCAGGAACTCATGTGGCTTCACAAAAATAAAACAAGAACCTGACATGAAACAGTAAAAGGATGGTGTTTCCACAGCTCTCTGTACTACAGGCTGTGTTCCCAGTTGAGGGCTGGAATGTGAACAGCCTGTGCTTTCCTCAGCAGCCTCCTCTGTCGGTGCACATGGTGCTCCTCCAGCAGCCAGTGCTGCTGTGTTTTCCTCGCACAGGGCCAGGAAGAAGGAAAAAAAGGAATCCCACAGGGTTACATAAGAGCCTGTACACGAGAGTGGGAAAAGAGGGGACGTGTGGGGAATGTAACACACAGGGGCTGGCTGGCCTCTGTGGAAGAGAGAGCAGCACAGTGAGGGCAATAAAATGACAATGTATAAAAGGGGGGGTAAAAGCAGCTGGGCCAGGCTGACAACACTCACACCTGCCCCGGCCAGGCTGGCAGAGCACACAGCTGCTATCACACCGTCTGCCTGGCTTCAAACCCCCTCACGCATACTGGCACTTACCCCGCAGAGATGTTGTTAAAGGTGAGCCCGAATCCTACCGGTCGTTGTCAAACATCCAAAAACATTGCGGGGGGAGAGAGGAGGGGGAGTACAGAGTAGTTTCACCGCATTCACCGTATCTCCTCTGCGCCTCGATGCCACTCCGCTTTGTCTGTTAGGTGAAAAGACATGTCTGTCCCGGAGAAGTGTTGTGGCCTCTCATTAACACCAGCAAGGACACCGGAGTCCAGTGAGCCCCGGGCACAGCTAGCTAAACCCTGAGAGGATGCCCGCCGGGGGATGCTCCACTCCTCTGCCTGCCTACCGCCGCTGGGTTTTAACGTTGTTATTTAGTCCAAGTGTTTTCCTGCCGACGTTACAGAAAATAAATAAATAAGGCATGTGTGTGTCCGACATCATCTTAAAGGGAAACGCGTCGTCAGTCGGCCAGTCGCGGACAAAGAGCTGGTGGAAAACTGCATCGGGAGAAGCCTGTTTATAGGGGCGAGCTTCTCCACCGGCGGCGGCGGCACACTTCGGGAAGAGTCGGCTAAGATCGTCAGAGCGACGTCCCCTCGTCTCACTGCGGTCGAAGATCGTATGTGATGAGGTGGTGTATCACTCCATAGTCAGAGTATATACAAGAGATGTGCGCATTACAATAAATATAGTAAAGCTCTGTAAGTAAACTGTAAAAGTCAAGAAACATAAATAGAAGAAAATGTTTTTAAAATGTAAAGTAAATTAAATTAAAAAGTAAATTCATCCTTTCTTAATTCAGGTATATTTGCTGACTGTTTCCAATACATTCTGTTAATTTATGTTATTGTAGACCTATATTATTGTATAAAGTTATTGTTTGTTGAAAGCATGACATTGGCCAAAACCATAAAACTTATAACTTAACTTTTAGGCTACCTAAAATATCAGAACAACGAAAGCTTGTGTTGCTGCTTCATACAGGAAGATTCAACGTTGTTGACATTGCATAATTTTAATCTTTTATTTTTTTTCATCCCCTACTGAATGGTTTATACTTTAAACTTAGGAACAAGTTTTTTAATTTATTATCATGTTAATTACAATAAGCTCACTGTGTGTGTGTGTGTGTGTGTGTGTGTGTGTAAAGTAAAATGTGCTTAGAAAGAGGAACTATTTGCGGTGATATTTTTGTTTACACCTACATTTGCTACAAACTGAAATTGCACACTTTATCCAAGAATATACAGCAAGCAGTGATGATAATGGACAGCAGAAAGAGTACACAAAATGATTGTCAGAGTGACACATCTGCTTTTTGCTACTCTCTCTGCAGAAGGTCTACATGTAGCTCTCTGCCGCATGGTGGAGCCATAAATCACAGACCACCACCAGGGACAGGTCTAATACACTTAACTTGATTTTACTCATGAATACGTACTGCTTAACATGTTGCTGTTATAGATGAGGAATGTTACATGTTGTCTGCCAGGAAAACATCACTGTTCCCTCATTTGTCTCCGGTCATATGTATTAAACGTCTGGCATACAGCAGCAGACTCCAGCAGTACTGTAGATGCCCTGTCATTGTCCATTTCATTTACTCTATTGATCATGAACAACAGGCTGACTTCTCAGGTCCATCACTACTAATTCTGCTCTATTTACAACCTTATTCATAGGTGGAAAATGGTGGAAGATTTGACAAACCTGTAAAAGCATCCTATTTTAGGTTTTATATACTATATTTTTCAGTAATTATTTTATGTATTAATCCTTATTTTACTGGTACCCTGGAAAGAAAAGCAGGGGGAAAAGAGTTTAATAACAAGATGTTAATTCTGTTCCTACTTCCTCTGTTTCCGAGTTAATACACCCGACTGTTTTAACCATCGGTTTTATCTTAACATTAGGTAATGTCTGCTAAACTACACTTGATGGCACTAATACAGTTTGTTCCACTGGTGTTGCAGCGGCCAGTAGTGGAAGGCTTTGTCTCTACTGGACAACACACATGTGTGTCCAACCTTTAAGAGTCCTTCACACAATCATAGAGGACGACTGTGCTCTTCATTCTTCTGACAGCGGTGATACAGCCATCCATTTGAACAGAAACCCATTAAATCATGTATTTCATGTCATTCTCCTTACATGGTGACAGTGAGGGTGTTTGTGCCACTGACACAGCACGGCCATGATGGCTGCCACTTCGCCTCTAACTGCCAAGATAACATCTATATACTGTATATATTATAGATAATTTGTGGTCAGTTATCGGTTGCTATCAGAAAGTTGGATCCTTATGATTACAGTGTGTTTTATCTTTCTTTTATTGCTTTCTTTGTTATTGATTATAGTACCATCAATGGAAAATATTTTGAAACTGTGGAATCCAAAGCTAAGAAAGCAGACATCTAACCGCAGAGTTTTACTGGAGGAGGGCGGAAGTGCTGCAATAGAAATAATACGTTTATGTTTCCCATATTTGGACTAAATCCTATTTTGTTTCTTTGTTGATATATTCAATCAGTTTCTATTACTGCAATAAAATGCCATTACTTAACAGCAGCTATATGATTGGAGCTGCTTC